GCGGTATTACAAAATCCAATTGTGGTCTTAACCAGGTTTCTTGTATACACATAACATCAGGTCTGACTTCCATATCACTCACCACTTTCTTAAACTCTTGTCCATTTGAAATTAAGCTTCTGGCATTCCAGTGGAGGATGTGAAACACCATAACAAGTTCAATCACCTTGAGAGACTCCATCATAATTGTTTGGGTTTAACATCTCATGAATCATTTCAGCTGTAACTTCCGTGATCCTTATTATCTCTGTGGCTACCTCTACAATTGTCTTGATTCTATCACTTTTTTTCTTCTGCTGTATTGCCACATTTACAGTCTTACATATGAAAGCAACAAAGTTTGTTTTACCCACAATCAGCGTATCTCCATTAATGTCCTTTGGATTAGTTTCTGTTTGCTTCTGACTTGTTGGAGAAACAACCTCTATTGCTCGCCTGTTCTCAGGCTCATGGTCACTATTTACAACTTTTGCAACATTGGGTCTGAATAAAACATTTTCCTTTACTTTTTTTTGCTGCATCAGCATAAGATACCTGATTAGTTACTTTGTATTTCTGTACTTCTCTAGCTTGTCTTTGAACAGGGCATCCTCCAAAAGCAGCGCTATGCTCACCGCCACAATTACAGCATTTCACTTTTGTATCCTGTCCACATTTTCCATATTCATGTTCCCCTCCACACCTAGCACATCTTTGTTTTCCTTTACATTGTCCAGCAGTGTGTCCGATTCTTTGACACTTGAAACATCTAAGTGGTGCTGGGATAAACGCTCTCACATCATAACTTAGGAATCCCATTCTTACTCTCTTTGGCATAACTTTTTCAAACTCCAGTACTACTGACAGGCTATCAGTTTTCACCCCTTTCCGTTGTGTTTGCAGTCTTGTGGCTTTCACCACTTTTCCTCCTTTCACTTCCTGAATTATCTCCTCCACTGACATTGCCAGAGGAACATCATATATAACACCTCTAAGCTTTGCTGCATTCCCTGGGATATGAGTACTGATCCTTTCGCCATTAAGTGTTTCTGCTCTCATAAACCTATCTCTTTGCATTTGATCTGTTGCAAAGACCAGCAGCCTCCTATTATTCAAATATTTGGCAAACTTGATCTTACCCATTTCTTTTTCAATTGCTTTTGTTAATTTCAGTGGGTGGAAATGCCCTCCTTCTTTTTTTGAATGTTACCATCACTTTCCATTCTGTCGTTTCATCCTCTTTTCTCGCATTTATCATTGTTGACTTAACTTTTTTAGCTATATCGCCCACCTCCACATCATAGCTTGAACTTCCAGAACTATCACACCTTCCTTTCCTCTTTTTATTTACATCCTGCCATGACATACTATCACTATCTCCATCCGTACTTTTACCCATGATGATTACATTCACGGCACAGTTGTTGCTTAAATCGCCAAATACCAACGTTCGTCCTCCAGGTTGGGTTGTAGCGTTCCCAAACCAGCGTGCTCATTCGGCGTCAGCCGATGCGCCATCCATCCGGAAGCCAGTCAAACTCTAGTGGCCAGGTTCCGTGCTCACCAACCGACCGCTTGACTACTACTTCTCCCAGGAAATTTAAGGGAAATGACATCATACCCAGTGTGCCTTGCGAAACTCTTCGTGATTGGACGATGAAACGCTATCAGGAACGCCCGATGGGCTTTCTAGTGTCATTACGGGAACGCCCAAGCCGCAGCTGGACCCTCCTCGTTGCTTGCGCTATCTGTTCTGACCGGAGCGGAAGAAGATTACCACGACAATTGCGTATTTCCGGTCACAAATACGTAAGTTGTGAGAAAGGTCTATGAACTACTTCTAATGAGCAGGGTTGCCAGATTTGGCGGTTTCCCGCCCAATTGGGCGGTTTTGTAATCTTTTTTGCGGGGAAAAAATGGGTTTGGGCGGGTGGATAAAAATTGGGCTGGTTTTGCATCAGTTCGGCGGGTTTTTGTAGTCGAAACACCGGGTCTTGCGTGTAATGGCTTGACATCAGCTACATTCCGTCCGCCCGGAAAGTCGTTGAAGTTTGACTGTAGTATATACTAGAGCTTTTGTGTTAATCAATTCAGATTATTCTTAATACCAATTGTTCAAAGCTATTTTCAGAAAACTCATACTTCTAACTGTCTGACGGGGAATAACCTCAGGCAGTTCGACGTGTGTTTTATGAAAATCGCTTTGAACATGTTATTCAGAATAATTGTATTAACACAATTATGTTTTTTTATTGTGTTCTGTTCTGAGCCCAGCCCTGTTCTATAATCAACTCGATTTTCATGTAGCCTATTGTTATTCATAAATAGGCCTATATGCATGTTTCATGGGGCTAATTTAAATCATTTCAATTTTAAAGTGAGTTATTTTGTATGTCCATATCCACTCAATGTTTTTATGTTACTGAATGGTTTTGTTCCGAGCGACTTTTATTGACGATAAACAGACTCATAGCCTAAGATGGCGCCATCTCCTCCAGTCCGAGGAGTGGAATGGCGAGCAAGCGAAGACACCTGAGCGGGTCCAGTGCTGGCGGAGCGAGTACGTGAGAGGACACCGGTTCGATTCGCAGATTATAGAATTTTGCGAAGGTGTTTGGTGTCGCCCAGCCTGCAGCTCTGCAAATGTCTGTTAGCGAGGCGCCATGCGCTAGAGCCCAAGAGGAGGCCATACTCCGAGAGGAATGGGCCGTCACACCAAGGGGGCACGGTCGACCTTGCTGCTGGTAAGACAAAGAAATGGCGTCCATGATCCAGTGAGACGGCCGGTGCTTTGAGAGAGCCCTTCCCTTCTGGCTCCCCCCATGACAGACAAGAGCTGGTCTGAGGTCCTGAAACACCGCATTCTGTTGACGTAGGTGCAGAGTGCACGTACTGGACAGAGCAGTGCCAAGGCTGGGTCTGCCTCCTCCAGGGGCAGCGCTTGCAGGTTCACCACCTGGTCCCGGAAGGGAGTGGTGGGAACCTTGGGCACATATCCAGGCCGGGGTCTCAAGATACGTGAGAGTAAGCCGGTCCGAAACTCCAGGCACTCTTCGTCAACGGAGAATGCGTGCAGGTCCCCCACCCTCTTGAAGGAGGCCAATGCAACCAGGAGTGCCGTCCTCAAGGACAGAATTTAACTCTACCGATTGCAAAGGCTCAAGGGGAAGCCTCTGCAGAGCACTTATATCTACTGAGAGGTCCCAAGAGGGCACGAGGGGAGGGTGAGGCGGATCTCGCCTCCATGATCCCCTCAGGAACCTGATGACCAGGTCATGCTTCCCCTAGACTTACCTTTCACTGCATCATGAGACGCGGCAATGGCCGTGACATGAACCCTAAGGGTGGAGGGCGACAGCCTACGCTCCAACCCTTCTTGCAGGAAGGAAAGCACGACGCCGATCGAACATCTCCGGGGGTCTTCTCTGCGAGAAGAGCACCAGTTGACGAAGAGGTTCCACTTCAACGCGTAAAGGTGTCCCGTGGACGACGCTCTAGCGGAAGTGATGGTTGCCACCACCGCAGGTAGCAGCGAACTCAAACCTGCCCCGTCCCGTCTAGGAGCCACACGTGTAGCCTCCACAGTTTGAGACGAGGGTGCCACAGAGTGCCCCGTCTCTGAGTGAGTAGATCCTGTCTCAGAGGAATAGGCCAAGGAGATCACTGCATGAAAAGTGGGGTTTTCGTCCCCGTAAACTGCCGGAAATCTCCCTAATTTTCGGCAGTTAACGACAATTTACAGACTGTCAACGTCGCGTTCCACTGTGCCACATATTGACGGAAACGAACCATGACGTATGCATGCAGCGCTCGCGGAGGTGCGAATGGCCCTAATTAGCATATGAATAGCAGCACTGCGCGCGCATTGCCAGAGAATGGCTTGAATTTCCTCACTCAGTATTGGTTGAAATTCACTACATTTAAACAAGAAAATCACTCGTGATTGGTTGGCAGATCTGTTACTATTGGTCAGCCGACATAAAATTATAATAATAATAATAATAAATATATATATATATATATATATTCATATGATATGCTATTATGTTGTATATTCATGTCATTGTTATCCTATGGACTAAATTATTATTACCATCAAGGACATGAATTTATTGAGGAAAGGAACATTTGCCACATACTGTTTATTCAAAGAAACAGCTTTATTAGAACAAACACACAACTATGTACAAAGCATAGGAGAACATCTTCAAAGCACAGAAAACATGTCCTCAACCCTCTGGAAACATGGGACAACATACATACAGCACTACAGTTATACAAATAAATCAATAATATATTGCATCTTTATTCAAAAATAAATTGCCCTGAATGGCATCAGAATTGGGCAACAGATATATCAAACACAGAAGGCAGAATTATGAACGAATAATAAGGATGTAATTTAAAGGGATTGTTCACTTTGAAATTAATTTTTGATATGTTTTAGCTTACCTCAAGGACATCCAAGATGCAGGGGTCTTTGTTTCCACAGTATTTTCAATTTTGATATTTTTAGGTCAAACCGTTGTTGTCTGTCAGTCATATAATGCAGGTCTATGGTCACCACCTCAAAGAGCATGCACAAAGAAGACCAAATTAAACATGATTTAATGACTCATAAATTAAGTACACATTGATGGACTAAGACACGAAATGAGCGTTTTGTGAGAGAAAACAAACAGTATTTATATTGTTATTGTATAAATGTGTATATATATACACATATTTAGATATACACAAAAATGCAATATATCTTAATATGTTTAGATCTTCACAGTAAAACTTCTGAAATCTGTGTAAACAATGAGTGACGTACCAGTGCAAGATCGCTTCTGGCACTTTCCGCCGCATGCGCAGATCATATATATACACACAAACACACACACTGTTCATTTTCTCACACAAACCGCTCGTCTCGTATCTTAAGCCATCAACGTGTACTTACAGTTATGATTCATTAAATCATGTTTAATTTGTACTTCTCTGTGCATGCTCTTTTAAGAGATCCCCATAGACTTCCATTATATGACTGATGCCCTTGATGTAAGCCAAAACATTTCAAAAAAATAATTTCAAGTAAACTATCCCTTTAAAACTCTTAATTCAAGTCCTGTAGGCTTGGCTCATCAGGGCGAAGTGAATCCAAGTCTTTGCGACGCGTGCTTGAGGTTCACCTTGATGTACATACACCTCAGTGGCTGTGGAACCGAATTTCATGACCCCTTCTGCAAAGTTGAAAAAGACAATGATTTAGATGTATGCAAAGGCAATCTGCCCCAAGTCCCCACATTTGTAAGCAAAAATATGTTTCTTCTGCATCCACTACCTGGTTTCCTTCAGGCGATGGCGGATGTCGACCAGTAGTTTCAGGACCTTTTTCTGGAACACTGAAGTAAACAAACACATTTGGTGATGTTTACAATACTCTAATTAGAATAACAAAGTTTGCTAGCTCACAAGGGAGAAGGTGTCTATTAAAAGTGTCTTCTCCACTGCCAATAGATCAATACTTACCACCAGGTTTCAGTCACTGTATCTCCCAGTCTCAGTCACTGCATCTATACCACAAACAAATGTGTTATAAAGTTATTATCAAATGATGAAACAGAACAGATTTATAAGATATTTAATAACTTGGTCAAACATTTATAACTGAATATAACATGCCATGTTCCAGTTCTCTTTAGCGTTTTCACCACTGTCTCACGCTCAAAGTCATCTATAAACACAAACGTTAATACAAATTAGTTTAGTTTTACTTTTTATTTGACTGGGGCCTGTTCAAAAGAAAAGAGGATAAGATCACAACACGTAACGTTACCTTGTTTAGGTGTTTTTTCTCCTATCAGCGAAGGACACCTCACTCCTTACAGTCCCTGAGAGACAAAATAAATCACAAACACCTGAAGATTTCACTCCATCATACAAAGTGATGCAATTTTACAAACAAGGATAGCCTACACTAGAGCATACAAGCACATTACGCGCTTTATGTTTCATGACCCTGGCACTTATTATTTTTTCATAATTTCTGACGATATTCACAGTAAACCCATTGGGAAAAGCCAATTGAACACTCAGTACGAGTTAGTACAGTACAGTTACTACTGTACTGTAGTACTAACGTACAGTTTAGTGTCCCAAATTGTTCAAATTGAAACGAAACTAAAAAAGAATTAAGAGCAGCAAGCTAACGCAAAACAAAAAACTGTTCCGTTAGGTTAACACCCTTGGACATTCGCGGCAGTAATCACAGCAGATTTGTGAAGTTTAAGACAATAACGCTAAACTACCAAACACTATAAGTACACATGGACATAGAATTCACTAAGTTGGACGAACTTACCTTCAATTTAGAGGAAAAGATGGGTTCACCAGCGATCATGACGGCGAAGCAGGCTGAATATCTGTGCCGTTATTTCTGCTTGAATAACACGCCACATGCCTGGCACGTTGCCTCAGCCAATCAGAGTGGCTGACGTTACAGGTTGGATTATGATGATATGCTGCCTCAGCCAATCAGAGTTACGTTCACTGGTTTTTGACTCAGGTTGAAAGGCTGTCGTCGGCTGTCCTTGACTTTTCTGCTGCTGTTCATTTTAAATTAGGAATAAGGTGGATATACCCAAATAGGCTACCATGAAATGTAAAAATACATATATGCATAAATAAATAACTTTATTAGGCTACTTAAAATAAATAAACCAGTAAAAAATTTTGTAAAAAACAAAAACAAAAAACATCTGTTTATAACTGTGAATTAACATCCAAAGATGTTATCATATATTTTGAAAACTACTTCTGTAAATGTTATGATGAATCTTGTAATTGTATTAGGAAAATTTCATATTCATAAGAGTAAAATGAATAATTCTAAACCTTGTTTGAAGTTTTTTTTTTTTTGGGTCTGATTTTCAGTTTTCAGTGTATTGAGTCTCTCAAATGTATCTATAAAAATGTAGTGATACAATTGTATTTGCTAAAGAATATTTAAGCTAATTGAAAAGTGAATTTATGTGTATGCTATTTTCTTTCTTTAAATAGTACAAATTACTGGTTTCTAACTTTCTCTTAAATCATAATATTATACACAATAGAGATAGTCCCTTTCCTGTTTTTATTTCATTTGTTCAATTCTGTCCTATTTTTATTTGTTTCTTATTTATTGTGAAATTATTATTTGTTGATTGTTATCTTTTTGGATGTCATGTTGCAATGTTAAAAAAAAAACCACACAAAAAAAAAAACATGGTAATTAGGTTATACTGAGCCTGATCTATTTCTACCAGAGATTGTCTTAGAATGAAGTTCCTTTCAGAAAAATGTTACCTGGGGTGAAACTCCCCTACCCTTATTTGCATGTGTATAGCTCACAGCATTTTCATTTACATGTCAAAGCCTCCTCTAGATTTAGGAGAAGGGGGGACAATGGGGGGACAACTGCCAAGCAAGGCCCACGTCAATTTCCGGCAATTCACGGCAGTTTTGAGTGTTACCTGTAAATTGCCGTGTGCAGTCGTAAACCTGAACTTCCACGACAATCTACAGTGCCGCTTACTGACGAAAATCCCACTTTTCATGCAGTGGATGCTGTCGCGAGGAGCATGAGTTAGGAGAACCACGTCTTGGTGGGCCAATAGGGGGCTACCAGCAAGACCTGCTCTGGGCCCCGCGGCCAGCTGTGCGCCAGTGCATCTGTGCCGAGCGTGCCCTCAGACAGGGAAAAAAAAACTGGGCAAAGTGGGATGAGTCCCGGGAGGCGAACAGAAGTATCTGTGCCTCCCCGAACTGGTCCCAATGAGCTGGGCCGTCTGGGGATGGAGTCGCCATTCGCCGGAGATAGGGCGGACCCGTGACCGCTCGACGGCCGCCAGGTTCCGGTCTCCTGGAATGTGCACTGCACGAAGAGACCTCAGGTGCTTCTGACTCCATATGAGGAGGTGGCGGGCGAGCTGCGACAACCGGCGTAAGCGTAGACCACCCTGGTGGTTGAAGTACGCTACTGCAGCGGTGTTGTCTGAACGGACAAGTACGTGTTGACCCGTGAGCAGCGCTCGAAAGCGGTGCAGAGGCCAGGCGTACTGTCAGCAGCTCGAGGCAATTGATGTGCATGAGGCGCTGGGGTCCTGTCCAGGAACCCGCGGCTGCATGCCCATTACACATGGCATCCCAACCCGTGGTAGATGCATCCGTGGAGACAACGAGATGCCTGGAAGCTCGCTGGAGCGGGTACACCGGCCCGCAAAAAGCTGAGGTTCGACCACGGGGAGAAGGTACGGCGGCACGCTGGAGTCACTGGAACTCGAAGCGAGCCGCGATGCCATGCCCACCTCAGGACTCGATCGCGAAGCCACAGCTGAAGCGGTCTCATATGAAGCAATCCGAACGGCGTTTCCGCGGCTGCGGATGCCATATGCCCCAGGAGCCCAAGAGTTTCAGTGGGACCGCATTCTTGCCCTCGAACTGTCGAAGACAAGTCAGCAGTAAGTGCGCGCGCTCGTTCGTGAGGTGCGCGGACATGGTGACCGAGTCTATCTCCATGGCGAGAAAAGAGATCCTCTGCACGGGCCAAAGTTTGCTCTTCTCCTGGTTGACCCGAAGGCCCAGACGGGCTAGGTGCCGGAGCACCAGGTCTCTGTGTTCGCAAAGCTGTTCTCGAGAGTGTGCCAGTATCAGCCAATTGTCGAGATAATTCAGGATGCGAACCCCGTGTTCGCGAAGGGGAACAAGGGCTGCCTCGACAATCTTCGTGAAGACGCGAGGCGACAGAGCTAACCCGAAAGGGAGAACCGGGTACTGATGCCTGGCCTCGAGGCAAACCGAGAACGGTCTGTGTCGAAGCAAAATGGAGACATGAAAGTACGCGTCCTTCAGGTCAATCGCTGCAAACCAATCCTGCGGCCGGACGCATTCGAAAATGCGTTTGGCTGTGAGCATTTTGAACGGTGTCTCAAAATGCGCAGATCCAGGATCGGTCGTAACCCACCGGTCTTCTTGGGGACAGTGAAGTATGGGCTGTAAACCCGGGCCTCACCTCGGCTGGAGGGACCGTCTCGATTGCACCCTTCGCCAGCAGGGTCGCAATCTCCGCTCTCATGACCGGGGCATGGCCACCGACCACCGTGGAGCGAACTCCCCTGAACGGGGAGGAGACCTCGCGAACTGAGTCGCGTAGCCAAATCTGATCGTTCTGATGACGCAGCGGGACAGGTCGAGGAGCTCTAGCCCGGCTCCCAGGAACTGAACCAGCGGAGTCATGCGAACCACAGACGTCCCCCCGGAGGGGCAGCGGTACAGGGAGACCGGCATGCACACCGGAGTTACCCTGTGTGGATGCACAGTCGAGCCCCGTTCCCCGACAGAAGAGACCAGGGAAGGACCAGCGTACCACGGGGGTCTGTTCTGCCGGGGGTCTGGCGATAGACGGGGAGGGGAGTGGTGTAGTCGAGGGACGACACATGCTCCCATCCGCACCCTCAGAGACAGAGAGGAATGAGCGGGGTGACGCACTGGACGTCGTGCGCGCTCATTCCAGTCTGTGTGCTCAATGATAGTGTCAGTTTTTCTTCAACCAGCTCAAGGCGCTGCTCACTCTTGGGTGAGCAGCGAGGAGCTAGCTAGAACAAAAGATTCTCCACCGGCCCTCCACTGGGGGAAAACCATGACAATTCACTCTTTCAGCGCTGAGGCGACCAGGGAGAAGCGCAAAGTCTGGCAGACCACTGCTCAGATCGCAGGCAATACAGAGTCTCGCTGGGTACCGCCGTCACACCAACACTGAAGAGGACGCTCGTCTCGAAGAGTCTTGAATCAGTGAGAATGGCTTGAGGAGTGAAGAAATCTCTTGGCTCCGAAGCGAAAACATACTGCGGTTGCATTCACTTCCTCCTTTTATACTCACGTACTGTACGGCGGAGTACGCTATGCAAATTTCCGCAGCCCCAAGGCATTGCATGCCATTGGCTCGTGATTAAATACTCGAAGAGGATTGGCTTTCTATGCGAAACCCCCAATCTCCGTCACTTCTGACGTAACTCGAAGTGACTACGAAAGGGAACCAGTAAAATTAGTGAATATTTTAAATGTTTAATAAAGGGGCAAAATAAATATTTATTTTTTATTTATTATATAAAAATAAATGTTTATTATATAGGCCTATTTATTTTATTTATTATACAATATGTATTTATTTTTTAAACTGCAGCATTTGCAGTTCAAATTCAAATTTTGGTGTTCAACTTTGCGTTTTAAAATTACAACGACCGTTAATTTTCCGTTTTTCAATTACAGGTTAAAAAAGGAAAAATGAACGGACGCAAAACTACACGGACCAATGGGTAATTTTAAAAGTAGTTAATGATTATAATGTGTTTAAACGAGAAACCATAGCGAGAAACAAGCCAAAACAAATGTGGGCGTTTTTTTGTGCATTCTCACGGTTTTTGACGAGGTTTTGGGCTGGAAAACCTTGCTGGCAACTGGCAACCCTGCTAATGAACCAAGAGCCAAAACCAATATTAAAGGTTCTCAACCTGTCACATATGGAAATAATAAAAGTATACAGGTTATGAAGGAGAGTAAATTATGACAATATTTTTTTATGTG